CAATTTTACAGTAGTCAACTCTCTGCTCACGGTAACTTTCTGCGCCTATGATTTATTTTGAAATTTGACACATTAAAAGTGTTCGTATAGGCCTATTATTACTAATCGTATAGAAGTGGTTTGGCGCAGCGGGAACGGTTTGGTTTCCCAATCTATGTCGAGGTTTCAATGTCTGGGAAGGCACTTTATCTGCATTGCTTCTCTACACCCAGGAGTATAAGTGGGTACTGGTATTAAATGCCAAAATGATGTAGCTGCCGCAACGCTATGGAATGCAACGCTATGGAATGTCAGTAGTTCAGATAACATAATAATAATAAGTAATTTTGTTAGGCGCACATATCCATTCCTTAGTAGGGGTGCTCCCGGAGCCGTTTTCCACCTGCCGAGTATACATGTAGCCATTTTCCGCATTATTATGTGAATTAATTTTAATTATTTATTTAATCTTAATGTATATTTGTGTCGGACCAGACATGGATGGGAAAAATAGGCAAAATAAGATGCAAATACGTGCGTCCACCATGATTCAAGACAAACACCCTCTCCTCATGCCCAACTAGGCTAGGCCCCCAGCTACTGTATATTGCTGTATACTTTCACTTACAAGAGGGTACCCCAAACCAAGCAACAATGCAAAATCAAGTTGGGGAGAGGGACGTCACTGGGAAGGGCTGCCGCTCCGTTTTGCCACAAATTAAAAAAAATATATTTCAATGTAATATGTGCTATTCGCTATTCAACAATTATTAGGCCTATTTAGTATTCTGAAATTGTTGTGCGCCGACCCCCCCCCCCCCCCCCGTTTGAAACATTCTAGATCCACCCTTGATCACACTGCACAATATTCCTCACAAGGACTACATTACACTCAAAACATTAACTACAAATACGTCATTCAGAAAAATAATGGCATATGGTAGGTCTAACCATAACATTCAACAGTGTACATGATCGCCACCTTTCCCTACTCATTCAACACCGGGCGGAGCACGGGTATATGCTAGTTATTATTATTATACAGAGATGTACTTTCACATGTGAGTCATTCTCTTCGTTGGTGGTGTCTACATTTGTTATATATTTGTTGATTTTCTGATCCCAAAAATGTAAATACATAAAATAAAATAATACCTGTAGCATACACCTGTACTTCACAAAGTTCAAGGCTTCCATGTTTCTTCTCCAGTTGGATACTGACGTAACGGCCGACTCTAGAATGACGGCAATTTTGAGTTACCTGCGATTTTGAGTCTAGCTCTGCCCTGGTTAGGGCTTGATTGCATTTACGATTTGACCGAAATGAACTGGACTCATTTCCAATTCGTATAACGGCGCCTAAAAGAGCTCCGGCTGAAATATGAAAAAATATAATATAAAATATAACTTGTAAATTAATACTTTGAAAATTAGAAATAGAAAATTTCATCAATTATATATATATAAGTTTTAATTTTATATATATATATATATATATATATATATATATATATAGAACTTTACCTTGATGAGCTATGATTGATACTATTATTATATGTTGCTATTTGAGCAATGTTATTATTATTTGTCTATTTGTTTCTATCATATTTCTATTATATGCATTTTTAATAAAAACAACCTAAATGAGCAACATGATAAAAAAAAACTTACAGAAGTAGCCTCTCTTGGTAATTGTTATTTTATGGACGAGCAGAAGGACTCCCAGGTCAACTTTCCACCATGGTTCCCATTGATGACCTTTGAATATAGCAATGGGATATGACGTCAATAGAATTACCTGTAAACAATACTATAAAGACCTTCAATACGGTTGTCTTGATAGTTTTATATTTTACATTTTGTACACCAGCGTCATTAGCATGTGCTTCTGTAAAATGTTTTAAAATAATAATGATGATGATAGTGATTACAATGACGATATGATACTGATAATAACAATAATATAATATCAATAGGCGCATATGTAGATATTAATTATTGTAAACGAACATTAGTTGTACCTTGTGTAAATTTGCTACCCATGGGTAATTAAAATGTTTATGATTTTGTGTGGATATTGTAACTTGTATTTTCAATTAAAAAGTTGTTGTGAAAATGATTAAATGATATTCGTCTTCTCCTTTGTCTTGTCGTGTCTTCTCTTTCCTTTCTTCTGCTGTCTTTCTTCTGTTGTAATCTGTTTGGGCTCTGTCCCCTCCCTTGTCATTTATTTTAAGAATGTGATCCTAGGGAGTTTTCCGAATGTTTTCCTTTTATCAAGTTTTGTAATCTGTTTTCTTTGTTCTGTTTAATATAAGTGATTTTAAATTTTAACTTAAAGAGGATCAAATGACACCTAGGGTGTAAATTGAAACTCACGTGTGCGACTGCAAGCACTTTTCAACAGTGATCTAGCCCAAAAATGACCATCAACTGCGAGGCCGGCGTCCCCCTCCGTACTGCTCTGTGAGGCGGGTCTATTCTGAGCATATGACCCTGGACACATCTCTAGATTACAACTGCGCATCTCTACCGCATTACCCTCGCACATCCCGGGTAAATTACACTGACGCTTCCTCTTTTGTGTACCGCCGCCACACGTCAACGAACAACTCTCCCATTCTTCCCATTTCTGCCATTTAGCTGTTACAGAGAAGAAATTACAAAATATGATGTATATTGACCATATGTTTCAATTTCCCGTGTTACTGTGTAAGCCTCTTTTTTATTTTTGTTTTTCGTTTATCCTGAGAAAAACGTACACTTAATGGGAATATCTAAGGAAGTATCTGCTTAGTTGATAAATTTCAGTTGAATAAAGCATCCAAACAGTCGGACGGCCTTGGTTCGAATCATGATGTGGAAAATACGTTTTATTAAATATATCATAATTAGATTTAATTAACGGAAGTACCTTACGAAGTTATTATCATGTGATTAATCTATTTTAAGTGCATATTACACCATAGGAGATTAAAATATGTCTTAATAGGAAATCAAATGGAATATAAAGTATCTACTAACCTCATACATCGATTGATAAATCAACCATCTAACAATCGGGACGCCTTGGTTTGAATCCCAATGGAGAAAATACATTTTTTTATTAATCATTTTATCATTATCTTTGTATTATCACCAATGGAAGTGATTCCCGATAGGCCCTATACTTATGTCATCATGTAATTTTATCTATTAGTGATTGCGTATTACGTAATACCTTCAGAAGATCCAGGTATATACTTGGTGTTAGGATTACGCCAATACTCATAATTTTACCACGAATAAATTATAAAAATTATAGAAACACTTCTTGTCACTGGAAATTCAAAAATTTCTATTCTCAAATTGACAACTTTTATGTTACTTCAAAAATAATGCAAGTTATTTCTTTTGTCATTTTCTTGGGGGTGGGGGTAGGGGAACAGTACGTCATCAATGTAAAATGTAAAAAATACCGTAGTAGCTTTTAAACTACAATGTCATATATACCTTGTACAGAACTTGGAACGTACGTCTCGCATACCGTTGAAATACCTCTGCTGTTACAACCCACGTTGTTCCACTTTCCGTACACGCTGACCACAACACATCCTGTATCGTGTTTGCTTGGCTGAGAATATTTTGTCCATCCTATTTGAAGTGAAAGTGAATTAAGATCAATATAAGTATTATCCCATTATCAGTATTAATTGGTAACTTATAGTATATAGGCCCTGCTTTTTTTTTTAATTATCATAGGCCTAGTATTATTATTATTATTATTATTATTATTATTATTATTATTATTATTATTATTATTATTATTATTTGTAATTCATTTATTTAGGTACATAGTCTAAAAATTTTCAATAGTAGGCCTAATCTTAAACGTTGCAATTCTTTTCACAAGACAAACATTATCATTCACTGGCCTCTTATGCCACAGAAAGTATTTGGAAAGCGTTTTATTAGCTAAACCAAAATAATGTTTTATTAGGTGACCATTAATACAATTTCAAAATCCAATAATATAAAATAGGTGATTTAATTGCAATGATTGTACTGAAAGTTCAAAGGTCAGGCTTACCCAAGAATGACGAGTGTTCGTCGCGAACCCACTGCCACCTGTCCCGCTGATTCATGAACGCCATACCAATCCAAAACAACCGGTCATTCATCAACTCCCCGAACCTCAACCTAATGAAATCATTCTCTTCAGCAGAACTGATGACAGGTAGGTTTCCACCAATCTGTTGACACATTGTGTCGGCTAAATGCCAGGCTAACGGTTGTTCAATAAACACGTAACAGCTTCTCCCAAAACAGTTCGAGAAATCAACTAGGTAATACAAAAGTAAATGCAGTTATTGTAATTGATACATATTCGCTCTAATATTCTTTATCCTGGAGGTAAAGAATTGCTCAGGGATAACAATATCTGGTCCCCCTCAGATCCCAGCACTCAAATATACATAAAATAAATATAAAAAATGTAAACATAAAAAATACAATATGAACTGATAACAGATCAAGATGTAGCGTTCACACAAACACACTATCTTCTATATCACTAAAGTTAAAAAATGTTTCTGAAATGTCATGGTATGTATTCTACATGGCATCTTATTTTCTTCATGTTTCTAGTATTCCAAATCTATCTTAGTATTAGGGCCTTATCCTGCCTTTTGTTAGTTATTAGTGAGGATTTACCTAAATTCTAATATCAGCAATTATATTTTTCATTGGAGTATATATTTATTTACCAATTCTGAAGTGATTGTTAATAGATTAAAGGCCAACTCAGACAGCGTCGGCCGACGCAGCCCGACCCGATTTATTGTCGGGGACAGTCTTAAGCCGTCGTGAGAAATATTTTTATTATTTATTATTATTTATTAATACGTTTAATATTCTAATACGCGACTGCTCCCGACGCACACCATCGCGTCTGCGTTCAACTCACACAGACCCGACGCGACAACAAATCGCGTCGGATTGCGTCGGCCGACGCTGTCTGAGTTGGCCTTTAAGGCCAACTCAGACAGCGTCTGAAGAACGAATGACAGGAAGATACAACACTAAGGTGAGGTACAGCTTATAAACTTGTTACCGTAATCATTCGTTGACAAAATACAATATTAAATCAAAATGTAAAGATATAGAGATATTAATCAAAATGTAGTAATGATATCGCACTCCACAGATACCTGTTGATGGATTAAATGATTGATTGATCAATCGATTGAATAATATGATTCCAAAGACTTTACGAAGTGCATTATATACATTGTCAAATCTGAAAATTCCATCATAATAAATATTGTATAATTGAAATATTGATAAAATATTGTTTCAAATAAAATAATTAACAACGTGGCAAATTCTTACCAATATCAGGATCTGCGTCAGTAATTGTATACGTTGCCTGGAAACCGTTTGATTGAAAGGTGTAATCAGATTTAAAAGAAACTAACATCTTATTTCCTTCCGAGATAAAATGTCTTTGAAACCCAGGGCCACACATTCTAAATAGTAACAAAATACAATGGGTTAAGTATCTTATAAGAGGTAAATAATTAGATTTCAGTGGCATATCCAGGAATTCAAAATAGAGGGGGCCCGGGGAGGTACATTGCCAGTGGAGGAACTATACCAACTCAGGCCTACCATGGGTGGGGCTAAGGTAAGGAAATTGTGATTATGGCACCTCTTGATGGCCGGAAATTGCACTCTCAGGCTTAAAATTTAAATATAATTTTTCTTTATATCTCCATTTTTAAAAAAGTTCGAGCAATTTAGGGGTGGCGCCGAGTCGGCTGGGTCCCCTTGTATCCGCCACTGGAATTTTCATTATTTTGCCAGGGACAATCTATTACAACTACAGATTTAAAAGGTTATAGAATGCATAATTTCAACAAATTGCGTTATAAATGTAAGCAATAAAAGAAAAGAAAATAAATTACAGAATAATATACTGAGGTGAACAAAACAATAATTTTAGAACCAGTGTTGAAGAAAATGTGTACAAAGATGTATCACAAAATAATTTTACTATTTGCTGGGTGGAAACTTTCCACATGATACTACTTCGGAGCAAATAAATTACGTATATCAGAGTCGTTGTATACATGCATGGTCTTTCTGATTAAATTATGTACGGCACGTTCTTTGGAAATTGTCTAATCAAGAAATAAATTGAAGTTGTAGCTTGGTGGTTAAGATGCTCTTCTTCCATTCCTGCCCAATCTTGCGTTCCCTAGGCTTCATAATGAGACACAGTTTAAGCATGGTTTAACTGTAAGACTTCCATCCTGTATGTGACAGGCTATCACTATTGGGCGAAAATGATAACAAGCTCATCTTGATTTGACTTACCGTGGATGATTGTCTTCGTACATGTTTTTTGTACGAACGCTTACGTAATCACGTTTACAATCTCGAGAATCCTCTAATAAAAAATGTTTGAAGGTCAATTTTATCCTCTGTCGAGGTTTGGCCTAAACGAAGAAAATATTTTATCATAATTAGTTGCGGGGAAAAAGCACAAAGAGGGTCAGGAAAATTACTGTACAGTACAATGTTAGCATAGAAAGTAGAATTATGGACTATTTAAATCATTATATTTTCTTCAGAACATTAAGATTAGCCCTATGATTTATCCGTAATGTAGCTTACCTCAATATACCATAAACAATTAGCATTATTGCTGTACTTTTCTGGAAAATTTGGAGATGAAATTTTTCCAGATTTATGTGTCAATTTGTATCTGCATTCTACAAAGAAATAGCTATAGTTACTAATAATCGAAGACGATAAATAATGAACTTACTTAAGATGTATGTTTATTTCACTTTATCTATCCAATTATTCGTCAAAAAATCATTCAAATGCAATCAAAGCAAGCGGTAGCAAAATATATCTAGCTTTTAAATTTGATACATAAGGAATAACGAATCAAAGAGGAAACCTCTCTTACCATTTATGTGAATAAGTTCTTCGGTTTCTTCGCATAGAAATCCCGTAAACCCTGGAGGGCAACTGCAATAACAGTAGGGATATGGGCCTACATACCCACCGTTCTTACAATCTTTATAAGCACAGTTTCCTGTAAAATTAATTCAGTTTCCATGAGTAGGCCTATTATACTTGATGTCTTTATACTTTTTCGCAATTTGTTAGATTCCAGAACGGTATTTTATAATTTAATGTCAGGCTCCAGAGGAAAAAAAATTTTTTCCTCCGGAGTCTGTGTTGAGATAATGATGAAAAAGATTTCTTATTATTATTGGTACGGTAGGTTAAGTCTAATTTTATACTTCCATAGTTTAGTAAAATAACCAAAACATAAATTATTCAGTTTTTATTTTCTTTACATAGATATTGAAATTTTCTCTTTTTGTACCAATTCAGCAAAACTGAATATTTTCAATCAGTTTCAGGGTTGACCTCACAAGCCAAAGATAATCTCCGGCATTTTAAAGGCAATCATTATACATCTTGGTGAAACTCTTCCTATAAGGTAGATCTATTTTGGTTTTTGCCAATTTAATTACTTATACTTTTAAGTGTACTACAAGTGGTCGGCTTGCGTCAGTTGAACCAAATGTGGTCACAATAAAAAAGGATATTTTTTTTTTAATTCAAAAAAAAGTTTTTCGCACCGTGTGGTACACCAACTATTTATTATCCCTGTAAAGTAAAGAATCCTATTGACGAGTCACAGTGAACAGAACAAAACACTGAGACGGACGGCGGCACAAAAGTCGGTGTAATGCTATATTGTATGATTTGAATATTTGTGACGTTTTTTTTCATAAATTGATATAGACTTTTAATGGAAAACACTCGAGCATTAGTCAGCTATCAATTGCGTATATATACTAATGTTATTTATTTCAGAGGCTGACCATAAAGCTACTCACACTTACTGTTGCAACTGTAGATATGATTCACCATCATAGCATCGTAGAAGGTTACACCATTTGTTGGTCCTAAGTCGTATTGCAGCAGAGGATCTCGTGTCACGAGTGTTGGGTTCGAGTTAACACTAAAAGTCTAATGATTCAATGAAATAATACTTATTATTAACATTTAAAGCACGTAAGTCGCACTGCAGCAAAGGATCTCGTGTTAGGGGTGTTGGGTTCGAGTTAACACTAAAAGTCTATTGATTCAATGAAATAATACTTATTATTGACATTTAAAGCACGTAAGTCGCACTGCAGCAAAGGATCTCGTGTAAAGAGTGTTGGGTTCTAATTAACACTAAAAAGTCTAATGATTCAATTAAATAATACATTTATTATTGACATTTAAAGCACGTAAGTCGTACTGCAGCAGAGGATCTCGTGTTCGAGTGTTGGGTTCGAACATAACACTAAAAGTCTAATGGTTCAATAAAATGGTAATTATATTATTGACATTAAAACACATTATCACATTACAAATAATTGTATACAGAAATTAAATTATGCTCAAATAAGAAGGACGGATAAACCAATAGGAGAATCAAGAATGGAACACAAAATAGAAACAAATTTAGGAAGGTCGGCTTGTGATCTATTTTGAATGTGAAAAGTGATCACAGATGCAAATTAAGACTTGCCGAGCATATATTATCGTAATACCATTAGGCCTATGCCACATAAATAAACTGTTATGCCTGTCTGTTACAGAAGTGTTTGAACAGTAAATATCACATGGAGTTGCTACGGTATTGCTAAGTCCTGTACTTGATATTTAAAGGGACGTAAATTATCGATATAATTTTGGGTTTTCCTTTATCATTTGTTTATTATCGTAAACCTACCTTGTTGACCCAGTCGTTTGTAGTTGACGCATAGTTTATCATCATCATTTTCACCCTCATCATCAATTATTAAATTTGTTAATATTGCACGTTGCTGATGTATTACTTTGAATCTTTACTTTATGACTGACTTGAACTTACATTTCGCTTATAATGCATGATCGAATTGTAGTCATATGGCGTTGTGGTTAAAGTTGAACGTTTGTCAAAATTGTAGGCCATATTTTCTTGAATATTTAGCCATAATACCCGGACGTGTTTGTCTCTGTCTGCTCTCTCCTGCTCATGGTGCAGTCCAATCGTATGCCCAATTTCATGTAGCACAGTCAATACCTAAAATTACAAAATAGCGAAAGTTGATTCACTACTAACACATAGACTACTCCAGCCAGGCATTAGGTACTCATAACTTCCTAATCCTTACAATGATTCCTTGAGGTTTGCATGCTTTTCTAGGTGTATGAATATACAGTAATACTCTAGCAACATTTCCTTATCTGCAGGAGTTACTTGGTAAGATTAACTAAGTGTAGGATACCACCTTTATGCATTAAACATGCCCTCATATCTAATAGTTTGTTCCATTCGTGGTCTTTTTTTCAAAGTAGCTTTTTGCTGCTGTTGCTTTTGCCTATTGTTGCTTTTTTTTTGTATATTCTGATTTTCGATTTTAGTCTACTGAAGGGGTGTCGTCTGTCTCTTATACACATCTAGATGTGTATAAGAGACAGCATTAGCACATTTATTACCAATAGAAATAATTTGTTCACCATTTCGTTTTGAGCCAATCGTTGAAGAACACCTGAGTATTAAAATAGTAATAATATTATTAATATTTCAGAAAGAAATAATAAAGCCAGCTACCAATAGTTACGGTAGTAGATCTCGCAAGTTTATCTTCTTGAGCTTTTTTCTGTCGATCAATATTTTTCGTCATCATTTGTTAGGCCTATACAGTAAATAATTTAAGTTACATATTGTTATTTTGTTGAAAATGTGTCTTGTGGAAAAATACTGAACACGTTTTCACTTGCTATAATAATAAATTATCATTATCATGTAGGCCTAATGATAATTAGTTTTTAGAGCATCAGTTAAAAGTTGGGTTTTTAGTAGTTGGATACAAAAACTTCCTACCCATTTCCTGTAACGAATGAAATTCGATGAGAATGTCCAAGGCGTGATTTTATTTCTTCGTCATAATTAACAAAACGCAAGCAAGTTTTAACCTCCCATATTTTCAAGCTTTCTAGTATAGCGTCTTTTGCTGAAAGGAAAAAAAACCCAAACATTAATTAGGCCTTATACAATGTATACGTTGCTGCGTGTAATTATTATTAATTTCGGTAACATTATCTAATTAAATTTAATAATTGCATAGCACCAAACCAATCTGGTTTTTAATTCCTCCGTAACATTTTGGTAGACTCCATAATGTTTATTTTCCCCAAAATTTGTAAGTTTTAAAACACATGTCGCGATAGATGCCACTACACAAATGTTCCTTTAAACAAGTACACAGTTCCTATATCATTTACATTTGTGTAAAACACCTTTATCGATGGTAGGTTGTATGTGTGAATATTTACTGTTATTTTTAAACGAATTTAAGTGGTCGAGAGATAAGGCAGCCACCTCCTTAACCTTCGCGCTGGTCCGATACACTTCTCTCTCATGGTTCATAAAACCATGTCTATTTGCAATAAGGACTAAAAACAGAGTTTCAGCCACATACTTAGCTCACGTGCACGTCAATGCATTTGAAAAAGTAGGAGTTATCGTAATGCTCTGGTTCATTGAATCACTGCCGTTCGAAAAAAAAAAACAAAAAAAAAACAGATATTTATACAGCTCCTTTTTCCCCAACATTGACTAAGATATTTCCCCCAAAATACCTTTCACTGACATTTTTCCAGCTGTTTTGCTCTCAACAATACATGAAATCATATCACAGTATTACTTCACATTTACACACTAGGTAATAGAAATATGGTCACTCACTGGATCAAGATTACATTGATAAGGTTTGATAGGCCCTAGGGCCCTTATTTATCTAAATATATTTAACATACTGTAAATGAAATGAGTTACGTTGAAAGTTTAGTGTAAGCCTCTACGTGTGTTCATATTATTAACATTACGGTTCTATGACTTTATTGCAAATGTTTACCGGACGTGACATTTGAACATAATTTTATATCAATGAACATATAAATTAAAACCACGTTTTTGTTTGAAAGAACCAATAAAGACATAATTAAAAAGTGATATTTAACGAATGTATTCTTTGCAGTGTATTCTCTGTATTCAATATAAACAAGGGTCAGTTGAAGGTCATCTCACATGTTTTCCTAATGTAGACATTTCCTTCCCTTTCAACCCCAAGTTGCAGAAAATATACCGACATCGATATCCGACTCACCCCTTCGGTATTTATACGTTTGCACTGAGCCTAAATACCCAACAGGGAATTCCAATAAATTAGGTTAACCTTTGTTTTGACGGGTATTTTTTTTCAATCGACATTTATTTACAACCTATTGGCAAGTAAAAATTCGATTTCTTGAGGAAACGAATATTTAAAATTTAATTCATGACCATTTACTGTCAGTCGAGATATATTTTATATAACCCAAATAAGAATATTCATACGGTACTCCTGTCATGCAAGTAACTTATACAGCGGCAGTGTAATACGGTGGTTAGAGTGTGAGTATGTATGTATATATACATATATATATATATATATATATATATAT